CACCTCTGATATATGGGGCCAGCCCCCTACTCCTTTGAGCCACAGGAGCCACCCTCCAATTTTCTTTTAGTTACTATTTGCATGGTCTATCTTATTTAACCTTTTTACTTTAAAACTACAGACAGTTCCTAACTTGTGATGGTTTGACCATGATATTTTTACTTTTCAATGATGCTGAAGCAATACATTAAGTAAAAACCATACTTTAAATGTTGAATTTTGCTCTTTTCCCAGCTGTAGGCTAATGAAAATTTTCTGAGCAAATTTAAGGGAGATTTTGTTAAGCTATGATGTTCATAAGGTTAGGTATATTAAATGCATTCTTAACTTATGATATTTTCAACTTGCCAAAGTAGGTTTATCAGGCTGTAACCCCAATGTAAGTTAAAAGGCATCTATATTTGTGTCTTTGAATCTAAAATATGTCTCTCATAGGTTGCAAATATTTTGGTAATTTTTTCAGTCCTACTCATCTCTACTCATTTCTGTGTTTAATCCATTTACAGTTAGTGTAATTGCTCATAATGTAGGATTTACATCTGTTATTTTGCCATTTGTTTCCCATATGTCTTATGCCTTTTGTGTTTCTATATTCCTTTCATTACTGCCTTCCTTATATTCCTTATATTACTGCATATACAGGTTTACTATGTAAACCTTTTGTGTTTCTATATTCCTTTCATTACTGCCTTCATTCTTGCTAAATGGATATTTTCTAGTACCATTTTTTTCATTTTTTTAATTACAAAAAAATAGCCTTTCTTTCTTAAAGTGTTTACAGGCTCACAACAAAATTGAACAGAAGTTATGTGGGTTTCCTGTATATTTCCTGCTCTCATATACACATAACCTACCTCCCCAACTATCAAAATCCTGTAATGTCTTTTTATGGCTTAATAGATCATTTCTTTTTAATGCTGAATAATATTTTATTTTCTGAATATACTATAATGTAAATATTCACCTACTAAAGGACATCTTGGTTCCTTTCAAGTTTTGGCAATTATAAATAAACTTGTTATAAATACCCATGAGCAAGCTATTGTGTGGACATAAGTTTTCAGCTCTCAAGGAGTATGATTCCTGGACCATATGGTTAAAGTAGGTTTTGTTTAAACTTTAAATGTCTTCTGCCCTTTTCCCTTCCACTTCTCTCTTCCCCCAAACTGGACTATAATAATGTTTTATTGTTCTTATGACCATGTAATTGTTTATATATTGATTTCGTATTAGTACAGAGTACATTGGATATTTATTTTTCCATTCTTGAGATACTTACTAAGAAGAATGTATTTTAACTCCATCCAGATCAAATGTAAAAGATGTAAAGTCTCCATCTGTTTAATGGCTGAATACTATTCCATGGTATACGTAAACCACAGTTTGGTTTGTTGATCCATTCATGAATTGATGGGCATTTAGGTTGCTTCCATGATTTGACAATTATAAATTGAGGCACAATAAACATTCTAGTGCAAATGTGTTTGTGATAAAATGATTTTTGTTCTTCTGGGTAGATACCTGGTAATGAGATTGCAGAGATCTTTGAGGATTCTCCATACTTCACTCCAAAAAGGCAGAATTTGTTTGCATTTTTTCATGAGTTTATTGGCCATTCATCTGTCATCCTTGGAGAAGTTTTTGTTTCAATCTCTTGCCCACTTATAGAGAACGTTGTTTACACTTTTCTTAATGTTTAATTTGAGTTCTCTGTAGCTTTATAGTAAATCTTGACATCAGGTACCGTTAGTCCTTCAAATTTGTCATTCTTCTTCAAAACTGTGTTGGATATGCTAGGGTTTTCACCTCTGCCTATAAACTATAGAATCTATTTGTCAATATGCACAAAGTAACTTGCATGGA